TGATTTTCATATTACAGACTGATATGTTCTCCTGAGCAGCTGCTCTGATACACCGCCCCGAGTGCTGATCTTTTGCACGTGTGCCAGATGAGGCAGGTCACTCCTATGACCTTTACAGTTTTGAAGGCCTTCTAATGTGTAAAAACTAATAGGAAATAATCATGAAGTAAACAGATGGAAATGATGCTGAGAAACAATTCAATTTAATCTATTCCTCAGGGCTTTATGCTGAGGGATTATATTGAAAGACGTAATTACAGTTCTCTGTGCATTTGAAAGGTTGTGCAATGTGGGTCAATGAAACAGCTCATGCTGGTGAAAGGATAATAAAACGTGAGGTCAACATCAATAGAATCACCTATTATACTGAGGGGTCGTCAGGCACAATAAGAGTAAAACATACAACCCTCCTGTCTGAAAATGCCTACTGTATCCGATTTGATACGATCTTGTACAATCAAGTCCCATTTATTTTAAGCTTACATCTAATATTCTTTGTCGTTTGCTTCTATATTAGAGCCCTATTTTAAAATGATCACCAAGAAATAACCCTTGCTATGAAAAAATATTATGAATTGTGATCACGTAGTGTAAGCATGCAATATATGGTGGCAGTGCACCGGTCTGTGACTCTCAATTTCACAGTTGAGTTGCTTAATATTCCCATAATGAAGCCTCTGATCGAATCCTTTCAATTGTAGGAAAGTTAAATGAATGGCTACTCATAAAAACAAACAAAAATCATAATCGAGCCAAATAATCCAAGAATTTTACATGTTCTATTATCAGTATTATCGATATCTGTTGGCTAAAGTCCTCATATTAATGAATCAGTAAAATGGAGAATTATTATCCAAGAACAAATTTCAACATTACGGCCGCAGTACACCGACCCAGTGGTGCAATATTTGGGTGCACCATGGAGAGTAGACAGCAGGCTTGGGTCTCAGAATCCCCACATAGCGGTACATCCAAACCTTGGTGTCTCACAGGTGGGCTGGGCCACTTTCCCAAGTATCCGGTGGGGGGGGGGGGGGGGGGGGGAGACAACAAAATCAGAAGCTTAATCAGACTGTCCAGTGCATCTCCTTGGGTCTGCTTACAGAACAGCACTATCAGTGAACTGCATTACTATCCAACCCCTTATTAATAATAAGAATCCTTGTATTTGATATAGTGCCTTATCACATTGTGTAACGTCTCAAAGCGCTTCACAGAATATACTGTAAAGTGAATTGAGTGTATATTATGTGGATGAAATGAATATATATTAATTTGCTTGCATTAAAGAGCGAAGATGCAATCCTATTTCATTTTGATTCATTCTTCTATTTCCCTACATTATCCTTCCTTATCTGAAGGCAGTGTCTCATGCTTGTATGGTTTTATTAGCACCAGCTGTTCCCCAATGCCTCACTTAAATACTCATTCTTCATGTTGGAGCCTACACCACAATGCTGTGAAGGGCAACAGAACCCACTACAGCTATACCTGATCCACATATCCAGTAGGGGTCACTGGATCCCTGAACAATTTTACCATTCCCTGGCCAGCCACATTGAGACCAACCAGAGCATTCCCCCCTACCCACCCCCACTGCTGCCTTGGTAGAGGCAGAATGACAGAAATTAATAAATTACAGTTGTACTGTGCTTTCATGTTGCGAGGATGTCCCAAGGCACTGGACAGTCAGGGATTTAGACCCTAGCGGGGGGTTGGGATCATGAGGGATGGAGGGCAGGAGGGTGACCATAGGTGCAGTTGAAGAGGAGGGTCTTGGGAGGGAGCGAGGCAAAGGGAATGTGGGTGCAGAGAGGCTGAAGGCCCGACCGCCGATGATGGGGTGGGCAAGGTGGGGGACTTGGAGCAGGCCAGAGCCCGCTGAGCGGAGGGAGCAGATAGCTTGATATGGGGTTAGCAGGTCACAGAGGTATGGAGGATCAAGGCCCTGGAGGGCTTATTGAGCCTAAACTGCCACTGGTTCATTCACTGAAGCTAACTACACCAATCCCAATTCCCTACCTTAAAAGATTTTAAAGATCTTTTATATTTTTCCCTTTTGAAAAATTGAAATGTAAGCTTTGGGAGATGCAAAGCATGCTATATAAATGAAGCATGCTATATAAATGCAAGTTGTTGTTTATCCAATTCCCTTTCACATATTGTTATGGTCTGCCTGAATAACTAATTGTGGTGTAGCATTCTATATTTCAATAACCCTCTGTGGGAAAAGGTTTCTCTCCCTCAACTCTTCCAGTGACAATTGTGACCCTATGCCCCACTGTTACTAATTCCTCAACCAAAAGAAATAATCATTCACTATCTATCCTCTTAAAGCTGCTTAGAATTCTTATCTGTTCTAGTGAAACAATGTCAGGTAAGTCAGTACAGACTTGGTACTCAGTCTGCAATCATGGTATAGTTCAATGTGTAATGCATCTACCTACTAAGACACTGACGAAAGATAACCCTTCTCATCTTCAGACCTAAATCACACAAATATGAACCTGTCCTTTGAAATGTTGACGAATGTGCAATTTATCCATAAAATTATTTTGGGGGTGAATTTGAACTATACTGTAGATTTTGTTATTATTACATTTTGAAATTCTGCTCATTCATGAAAATAATTGTTTACACTGCAAAAGATGATTATTAGCTCTACAATGACCTGACACTCAAAAAGCACTATATCAAAATGCAAGGATTGTTAAATCATGCCAGACATACAAACATGTTGCTAACTAGGATTTTCCTGAAGAAAGATGCCAAATTACTTTGCACTATGGTGTCTTTTCCTAAGCAACTATTTTTACTGTTTTAAACTGTTGCGGGTATGCTCCGGTAAAATTTACTAAAATCATACATTTAAAAACTGTTCATTTAAAATTTACATGAAAAACATATAATTATACACTGATACCAAAAGTTAAATCTAGTTCCGGACACTACAGTTTTTAAATAAATCTGAACGTATGCTTTGGTTATAATCTTATTATTTGGCTTTACAGTAAGCGAGTAAAATTGTTACTCCCCAATATTCCTTCTTGTATTAAGCAGCTGTTGTGTTTTTCTGGAGGGTGTAACGTTTTATTGCAAGTTGAGGTTGTATGGTGCTAGGATGGTGCCACATAAACAGAGGGCAAAGCTTAATGTAAATGTCCAAAACAGTGAAACGCTCAAGGTTTCAGTGCTGTTGGCCATTCCTTCAGTTCTAAAGAATAGTCAGCTGACATGTGAAGGCAGTGAACTAGTCTGCCATTGAAATAAGAAGTAAACCTGTTCTCTCCTACACATTCTTTCATCGTGTCTGTGCTACTTTTATTCGGTACAAAAATTAGAATTGAATAAAATATCCATGACTTTCAACAAAACCAATAGGTTGAAACTGAAGACATTTGATTTATAGCGCTTGTTATCTTCAGTAATTTATGTTGATACGTTGGTGGAGGCAAGGTCAGAGCAAACTCAACCTGACAATATATGTGTCACTGTCTTGTGGGCCGTATTTTAAATTATCTGCAGGAGGTAAAATAGAAGATATTCATATGAAGCCACAGTTTAGCCTAGAGTGAAACAGTCATCATTTCTTCAAAGACTGGCTGAGGTGACTTGTGCTTTAGGCAAGCAAAATTCAGAACTAACTAAGAGGGATTTTATATTTTGTTTGAGCTAAAATAAACATGATAGTCCCTGCACAATTCTTGTTTTAGCTACTTATCCAGACAGAGGACGAGTGGCATCTTGGATTTAGAAAGTAAATATAAATAGCCTTAGAAGGAAAGAGAGGGAATTCATTTTAGAAAGAAACAGAAATAAAGAAAAAGTCTGCAATAAAGATTAGAGCGATTTTTTTCAAAAGGAGGTGCTTCAAAAAAACTTGTCAAAGAGAAACAGGTGCTGTGGTAGGTAAATCGTATACATCACAGAGCAAGGTGATCACTCAAGGAGCAACAACCAAATAGCATACACTACAGCCATTTCTGAGATGTGTCTGACCTGTTTAGAATACACACAATTAATGTATAAGCTACAAATGCAGTCCACCTTTTCACTTCTCTGAATATTATGTCAAACACATATCAAATCTGAAAGAGCGTGTTTGTGAAGAAGTATAGTAACCTATTTTTTCAGTCAGCAATGAATCTCTTATAAACTGCTACCAAGTTTAAATGCTTAATTTTCCACATTCTCTAAATATACTGCAAACATGGTATTTGTGAGAACAGAAAGAAACTTATCGCACTTATTTTTTCCTCCTGTCGGCCTTATGTACGTTATGTTGTGGTTCACAAGAAATCATTTGCATTTTTTTTGCTTCAATTAACTCCTACTTTATTATTTTGCATATATCATTGAATTTATGTATAACTTGTGTATAGCTTTGTAATTATGAGCTTCACTGGAGGTGTCTGCTCACAAATACTAATGCCATGTGATGTAGTCTGTTACATGGGACAGGTCTTTCTTGAATCCTCAGTGTTAGAAAGGTCATGAATTGATTGTGATGGATTTAGACAGTACTTACAAGTAAGCACATACAGATTAAAATGAGCCTGTGAGCTTGGATTGGTTATTGGTGATTGCCTACAACAGTATTCCTAATGCGTATTTAGGAACAATTAAAAACGTACAAATTGTCTCTCTGCTAGGTACGATTTAAACCATGCCAATTTGGTGCCTTCCTGATTTTTTGTGCCACAACACTGCTAGAAACAAAAACCAACAATAAAAAAAGACTCCTACACCATTCTAAATCAAACAAAAACAAATTACTCTGAACAATTTTAAAAACCTATAATTCAACTTACTTTTTGTGGGAAACAAGAATGCTGTCATAATGATCATCAAGTATGTTTCCTTTGTTTTTGTGAAGGTGCAGTTTCCAACAGCACTAATCACTTATAAAGAACATTGCAAGTTTAAATGAAAACTACAGCTCTTTCCACTTTCTATAAGCAAACAAGCAATTCATAGCAATAAACAATACACACTAGGTCTTGAGATCGATGACATATTTATATTACGTACAGGACAAATGTTCTAACCATGCACAGCATTACCAGTATCACATTTAACACCATTTTACAAAATAACAATGACACGATGTATGGGTCAACGTCTAGCAATTACACATATCCTGTGAAGATTACTAAGGAACCCAAATTAAATTAAACCCAAAAAACTTGAAAATGTTGACAACACTGAATTTTAATCGGCAGTTGTCAGCAAACATTATGTTAAAATGAAGAGTAGAGCACGCAGATCGAAAAACAAAACAAAATAACGGGATGAGTTATTTTCTTGTGTATTAAGCAATTTTGATCTCAAACAGTTATATTACTACAGGGGCATCATGCTATGAATAAATGAATGAATGAGGGCGTGCTACTGGGGCTAAAAGGGCCTTAAATATAATTTTAGGCTCTTTTAAAGCTTCTTTATACTTGATAAAAAATATTTTCCTGTAAGGTATATTTATCTGTACAGCAGCAGAATGAGCTCTACTACATTCATTTCTCATGTTGTGTGATGCCCCTGCAGATGGAGCACTGTGAGATCCACTCCTACTTAGTAAAAGGAATGCTCCCAGAGGTTTGCATTCCATCAGCAGGTGCGTAAAATACTAAACGTCCATTCTGTTCATATGCTGTTGATTATTAGAAGCCTTTTATGTAGCAATAGGCCTCCAGAGATGAGAAAAGAATATATAATAACCAAAGCAGAACAAACAGTGATGAGGTTAGACGCTTGGCAGTCCGTGGTCCACCCAATTCTCCGCCAATTTCTGGCCTCCTTCGATACAGTAACACACCACAGGATATAAAAGCAAATATGGTGTAGAGAGTGACAGAGAATGCCAGTGTGCCCGGCTGCACCTCAAAATCTTTTCCCTGTGCACTCCAATAAACTGCCGCAACTGTCCAAGCCACACCAATTCCTAAGAAAATATTCACAGCATTGCTTCCGGTCACATTACCGATTGATGCGTCAGCATACTGGTCTTGAATTGCAGCTACTTTGCTGGCGAAGGTATCTGTAAAACAAACCACAAGATTATAAGGTTAATGATCTCTGTCCCTGATTGAAGTGTGCTATCTGTTTCCAACATTTTACACAGGCTCCTATTCAGAGTTACTAAAGTCAAACGTACAATTTATTCATGTGTACTAAAGGTTACTATTGAATTCCATGATGCTGTGAAACAGGTTACATTATTAGCACATTATAATAATAATAATCCTTGCATTTGATATAGCGCTTTTCACGTCGAGAGGATGTCCCAAAGCGCTTCACAGAACACACTGTAAAGTGAATTGACTGTATATTTGTGGGCGAACGCGGCAGCCAATTGCGCACAGCAATGTCCCACAAACAGTCGTAGATTGAAAATGACTAATTTTTATTCTTGTTTTTGGTTTTGGAGGGATTATTATTAGGCTCTGTGTGGAGTAAGGAAACTTGCCCAAGGTTTCGCTCTCTGTCTGGAATTGAACTCAGGTCTCTCACTTGCAAAGCGAGTGCTCTAACCACTGAGCTACAGGACTCCATTGGTATATTATCCAAGCAAACAAGAGCAGTCACCAATTTCAACTGGACCACGGAGACTGAGTAATTCACAAACACTTAGCGCAAACAAATGGTCCAGGTTTTCTTCCAGTTTTGCAAAGCAGTGTGTTGTTTTCTTCCTAATGAAATTAAATGGAAGTGGGAAGTAGAGACGGAACGCACTGTTCTAAAATCTATTTGCAATTATACTTTCAAATGTCATGCTGATGTGCTTCATTCCATTAATAATGACTGCTCCAATATTTTATTGTGTGCTTTATGAAACCAGACATATTCAGTCAAGCATTTTGCTCCTGTCATTCATTATATGCTGCCTATCGTCATGAAAAGGTGGGAGGTGGGCGAGGCGTGCTACAAAGCAAACTAAAAGGAGAGTAGGGAATAATAATAATGCTGGCATTTGGTATAGCGCCTTAACACGTCTTTTAGACATCTCAACGCGCTTCACAGAATAAACTGTAAAGTGAATTGACTGTATATTTTGTGGGCGAAATATTTAGGTAACATACTAAGACATGTGAACACTCCTGTTCATCCACTTCTGATAATTAATTTTGATATTCAAATGTAGCACAATTTAGCAACTTCAGTGCATGCAATAAAGTGGACTTAATTAATTGATTTTTTTTACAGATTACTGTATCCTTATTGTTGTTTCCCCCTTGGGAAGAGCTGTGGTCCTGCACATTGTGGAGCATTAACAGGTAATGTGGCAAAGTGGGCTTGTCTATGCTCTGACTCTCTGGTGAAATGCTGATCTCGACTGCCTTGCTGTTGGGAATCTTGCTGTCAAGCGGAGATCTGGCACTTCACCAAAAGAAAGAGAACTCTGTTTGGCGAGACATTATCATGTCATATTGAGAATGTATTCCCTTTAACCTTTCCTTCTTGAAGCATTTACTACAAACTAATACCGTTAAATAATAATGAACTAAAAGTATATTCCTTTCAGATACTGTTTAAATGCTAATTGAGTTTTACATCGTTAACTTAATCACTTTGAAAACCTAATTAGTTAACATGGTGATGACCTCAGTAACATCTCCTGCTCACTGATCTTTCAACCAAGTAAGTCCTGATCAGTCTAGTCACGACAAAAGCCTGCGTTCTCCATCAACAACTCTTACCAGAGTAGACCTCAAGCTAAACCACCCTCAGTTTGGTTTGGTTCTCTTACGTTATTCTAGCACCTCCCGCTTCAGTGAACACAGCACTCATAGCCTTGCCTTGTTATTCATTTCACAGTTATGTGCTGTGCTCCAAGCAAAACGTAGTTTTGGCCCTGCTCCCAGACTCCAATCTATTCCAAACTCTAAATCTGGTTCTTCTTATTACTTACATCTTGTTACTAGAAACAAATATATTCAGCAGCATGAACAAAACGCAAAATACTGCAGATGCTGGAAATCTGAAAACAGTTGTTGGGAACATTCAGCAGGTCAGGCAGCATCTATGGAAAAAGGAAAGTGAGTCAACGTTTGGGGTCCATGACCCTTTGTCAGAACAGGTCGTGGACCCCAAACATTGACTCACTTTCCTTTCTCCATAGATGCTGCCTGACCTACTGAGTGTTCCCAGCAACTTCTGTTTTTGTATTCAGCAGTATGATTCAGGCATCAAAAGAATACAGGATACTGCTATTGCATTTTCATGCACACAAGAACACAAAGACTATTCACAGCATATAGTCGACTTCCGCATATCTGAACAGCACCTACGTGATCAGACTGCTGCTTTCTCCCAGACTCTTTGCTCTCATTGTGCACCAACACCTCTAGCCACCAACAAATTCAAAAGGTAAACTCTGAAACCCTCTGAACAACTACTGTGCACCCACCACGTGCAGTACAGCACTGTGCTCTGCTTAAACTAACATGCGGTTGGGTCACAAAGCTCCATCTACTGCAGTTACACATTGAATTCATGGTTATCTGAAACATTTGAATATCCAAAATTGCCCCACTCCCATTAGACTATGATTCTTTTTAACAATTACACCTTAACTTTTCTCTCATTGCCTTAAGATTTCCTCCCAGCTGCTATCACTGCCTAATGTTTCTCCTTTCTGTGTAATGTCAAAATCCTTTACTGACAATCCTAGAAAATAGTTCTTCACACAGGTGGTTAGGAAAATGTGGAATGAACTGTCTCAGAAGGATATAAACATGAGATAGACAGACAGAGACAGACAGCCAGATGGGAAGTAAGGATCATAAGAGGTATGGTGAAATGGGATTAAAAGATCTGACATGATCTAATAAAATGGGGGGAAAAGGCTTGATGATTGAGTGACTCCTCCTGCTATTATGATATGAACTAGGACTGCCGCAGCATGTTCGTAAAATTAGGAATCTGATGGATACTTTACAGAAGCAACTTTTGGCAGTGCATCATATCTCAGGGGCAATCACTTTTCAGGGAAAGAAGTTAAAAATTTCTAATCATTAAAAAATTAACTTAGTTACCTAGCTCACTAATGTCTCTCTCAATGCAAAATAACAACAAAATCAACTTGCATTTATTTAGCGCCTTCAGGCTGGGCAGCATCTCAGAGCGCTTAACAGTGGTGGAGCCTGATGCCAAGCCGAATAACATCTCAAAAGGAAAATGCGGTCAAAGTTAGCCTTCTCAGGTTTATCTTTTGGGCTTCTCGGATTGAGGACCACAAATCCAAACCCTTTGAATTGCTCTCGAAAAAGAAAGTAACCTGTGCTTATCATACAACGGATTGCCAGGCAACCATAGGATACAGTAGAAGGCCATTCGGCCCATTTTTTCATGTCAGTGTTTTTTGCCCTTCCAAGAAGCCATTCATCCTAAAATCATTGAGCCATTGGTCAGGTTTGCTTCAATCAGTGAATTAATCTGCAGGGAATCTGCCCTTCTCGTTTTGAACTTGCATCTGATTGTAAAATGCAATAAGGAAGATTGATTAAATACAACCGATATAAAATCTGAGAGCTACGAAATTCATGGGAAACATGTAATTTGTAGCTGTTTGACTATGGGACTTTCAGCAGAGAAGCAGACTGGAATGCAAAAGAGAAGAGTCCAGCCCCTGACTCCGTTATAAAGTCTGCACATTTCTTCATGGGAAGGGAAATGGATTACTGTTTAGTTAAATTAAACTGGTTTCCAAAGGAAATGTAAACATTCCATGGAACAAATATCTTTGTAAGCCACAAGAAATAAAACATACACCTACAATTTTAGAAGTTGTTTTAACTCATGAGGTCATTTTTAAACAATTGCACTCATGTAAACCAGTACAAATTACTGATACTATGCCCATATTCAGCTATAATTTTCAAATGTACAGTTGATTTCCTTTATAAGCTCTCTGAAATAACACAGTCTAAACATTACACATATTGGATCTGGTTCAGTCAATTGAAACAACTTGGAAATGCAAAGTGAGTCCCATTTCTTCACTAGGTTTCTTCGCTCCTCTTCTGAATGGTGACCTCATGCTGAGGTGCAGTTGAACAGGAGGACCACGTAGGAACATAAGGAACAGAAGTTGGCCATTTGGCCAATCAAGCCTGTCCCACCACTTTTGAAGATTGTGATCAATCCACAACTCAATTCCACCCCTTGCCCTCTATCTTTCTCCATATCTCCATATTTGTGGAGTCCTGTAGCTCAGTGGTTAGAGCACTCGCTTTGCAAGTGAGAGATCTGAGTTCAATTCCAGACAGGGCGAAACCTTGGGCAAGTTTCCTTACTCCACACGCCTAATAATAATCCCTCCAAAAAACCCAAAACAATAATTAAATTGGTCATTTTCAATCTACGACTGTTTGTGGGACATTGCTGTGCGCAATTGGCTGCCGCGTTCGCCCACAAATATACAGTCAATTCACTTTACAGTGTGTTCTGTGAAGCGCTTTGGGAAGTCCTCCTGACGTGAAAAGCGCTATATCAAATGCAAGGATTATTATTATTATTATTATTTCTCGATAACCCTGTCTATCAAGCACTTATCTATTTGACTTTAAATTCTTCAACTGACTCTGCCTGCACTGCCTTTTGGGGGAGTGAATCCCACACTCCCACCAGATTTCACTTCTGAACGGTTTGGCCTGAAGTTTAAAAGAAGGAACAAAGGAACATAGGAACAGGAGAAAGCCATTCGACCTGGACATGTATGAGCCTGTGCAATGAGTGTCAGGGGTCTATTGACCATACAGGACATTGCTGTTTTCCAATGACACATGCACTTTCTAGCTGCAGTCATAGGACCGAGGAGTAGGAACCTTGGTTGAGAGTGCCCCTCCTTGGCTAGAGAATCAATATCACATGACGAACCCCTCATCTTGGCTGTGATTAACTTGCTTAGCACAGACTGGTAAGTGAATCTGCAAATATCTTGTCTGTGTGGCGCTACAGATATATTAGATTGTTGAGTGGTTACATTAAGAACATTTGAATTTAAATATTTTGGGCATACACTAAAGCTACTTTGGT